ATGCATGGCAGGGGATGTAAACCCACACAACGGAGCTATCAATTTTGATAATATTGGCTATGCCTGGATAGCTATCTTTCAGGTAAGATTCTCCTAAAGACACTTTTTTGTTTTGTCATCCTTTGCTTGAAAGAATTTTGATGGATACATTGGTGGTGGAAGGAATTTGCTTGCACTAGCATGAAACTGCAGATAAAGACACATCAAGTAAATGAATCAGACAACCTACAGAAATGCTGCAAGAGAGCATTTGGAGAGAGGAAAAGAATAGCCATTTTTCGGTCTCTTTTAAGAAGACAGGGAAAATACTTGACTGGCAGAGAAAAGTGTAGCAAATTCTGAGCTGGATAAACCCCAGGGTGGAAATAAGGCGCAGGTTTTGGAGGGCTAGAGTCAATTATTGATTGCTGTAATATCAAGAAATGGAAGGTGTTATCCAAGTTCTTGCAGCAAGACTTGGTATCGTTCTGAAACGTAGGATCTGGCTCAAGATTTAGGCTTGGTCCTAGAATTATAGTTGCTATCGCTTAGCGTGGGACGCTGGAGGTAGGAAGAGGAAACCCAACAGGCTGCTCTGGGCAGGGTGCATGAGAAGAGCTACCAGCTTGTGAGGGGTCTAAATCTTTGCTGATCTGCACCCACGTGCTCCATCACTCGAGGTCAAGGTGCTTCTGCATGAAACTGGGGGGATGTTTACAGATCTCTTTAGCAACTGAAGCATATCCGAGGGATTTGTAGCTCTGGAGCATTATGTGGACAACATACACAGTCCAGGGCCTACGGTCCTTCAGGGTTAGCCTACCTGAAATGATCTGCATATCACCTTCCATTTTTACTTGGCATTTTCTCTTATTTTAGTATGACTTTTTGTGCTCTCAGCAAGATGCTTTATTTTTATTTAGTCATCTTGAACTGTACATGGCATCTATTCCCAGATGAGAAACACAATCTCCTATTAGTTAATGACTAAGAAATTACCCAGGCACAGGTCTAGCGTTCCTTTCTGAATTTCCTTGTAGCTCCATATTATGTTGTGATCTTAATAACTTGCAGCTTTCACCTGGGCGTTGGGAGGGACAATTGCCTGCACTGAGCATCTTGTTTGCTCTCAGGTTGCCACAGCAGCACACACTGAATCACACTGGCATTGGTGTCAGAAGCTCAAAACCACATTCACAAAGATTCAAATAGATCCCAGGCCTCTAGTAGTTTACATTTTTAAAAATACTTTGGTACCTTCTTGGAATTAATGCCTAAAGAGAGGAGTTGCCACGGTAATTTTAAGTATTCCTGGCTGATAGTGAACAAGTGAGTTCTGCATAAAGGAAATCAAAGTGCGAATGGTAGACAGTCCCTAGCTGCATTTGCATTCTTCCTTTTTTCTTTTTTTTTGTTTTGCTGTTGTATATCTCTTAGAGAGCTCGATGGACATGCTCCAGAGGTCCCATCTGGCTCCACCAGCAGGCAGTGAGGTTCTTTTGGTGCTCCAGAGGTCCCATCTGGCTCCCACCAGCAGGCAGTGAGGTTCTTTTGGAGAAAGGGCAGAGCCTGATTCATTGCAGAGTCCCTGAGCTGGTCCATTAAAAATGTCCAAGTGCATCTTTAGGAGTCCTGCTTTCTTTTTTATTTCCAGAGGCTTTCTGCAGATGCTAAGCTTTCATTTCATTTCATGTAGGGATTTCATTCATGGGCATGTGTGGTCTGGAAGTGCACAGGTTTAACCCAGGAAGACCTTGCCAGCCACAGCAACCATTTGAGCCGATTCCTTTGGGAAGAACAGCGTTGGATATTGTATCCAAAGATCATTTGACTTCCTGCTTGCAGATGCCAGGAAGCTTTATACTTGGTTTTAATACTGCTGAGGCCATATAAATACTAAAAAGCTTTTCCAGACAAAGGCTGCTCTTACATCTATATTCCATTGAATGCTTTCACTCTAAGCTTTTAGAAATGGAAAACAATATTACTGCAGGTAAAGAAGTGTAGCTGTTGAGAGCAAGGTGATTACTTAACTGTGCTGCAGAAAGAGTAAAGTATTATTGCAAGAAGTTAGATAGTAAATCAAAACAATTGCTGTAAGCAGAGAGCATTTAACAAATAAGCCTGTTGAGTTGCATTCTCATTGTATTTAATATTTGAAGGTCAGCAGTGAGGCTACCAAGTAATGCAGAAACTAGAACTGATGGTTTTAGTAGTCTAGGAACTTCCCTGTGAAATGGTATTGAATTAGTGGGTGGAAAGCATCCTGCTGGCTTCTGGATGACTGATCCAATTGCCCTGATCCCTTCCGGGGAATGGTGAATCCGCAGGATGTGTTTGCAGGAGCTGGACTGGAGGCCGGACCTCGCGGGCTGGCCAGCCTCCAGCTCGCATAATGGCAACGCAGGGACCCAGCTGCATGGAGCATCCTTCTTGATTTATCCCAAACGAGCTGGAAACCTAGCGTGGTTTGAGAGCTATCAGGAAGGAGGCTGGAGAAACAAGCCCGCAAGCGAGACTGGAAAGGAAGCTTGTAAATACAGTGAGTGCAAGCCATTCCTAAGATTTTCCAAGGGCATGTTTTTATACCGTGCCGACTGCACAAAACCAAAGCCAAGAGCAGACTGGGACAGGGAGATCTGAGTAGCTCGACTCCAAGGCATCCGTGCAAGCTGTGTGCCAAGGCAGGAGGTTGGACATATGGCCAAGAGAGGAGAAGGAGCAAAATGTTATCGTGAGGGTAGAGGGAGGCATTCAGAAAAGCACGTGGTGTAATTAAAATTCCTTTCAAGGACCTTACAAAATAACACAGGGGAAGGAGCTTTAGAGACCCCACAGAATTAATAATAGGGAGAAAGGGAAGCTGGAAGGCATTTAATTTCATGGAATTAATCCTAAACTTGCAAGTAACCTGGCACATGGCAGTGGGGCCCACCAAACAACGCAAAATGTGTTGTTGACCTTCCAAGGAGAGGTCAGAGGCATCCAACAGGAGACCAGCACAGATAATAAAGTCTTAAAGTAATAAAGATGATGGCTGCATCCATGGGTGTTTGAAAGGATAATAATTCCTTATGTAATCCTGCAAATGATTCATGTTTCGATTCCCCTCATTTGTTGTGTAATAGGCTAATTCATGTATATATTTGTTACAAAGGCACGTTCAATAGCAAATTATATGAACTAATTAGCTTATTACAGAATAAATGAAAGGAGATAGGACCTAAATTAACTGTGAGGTTTGGCATGATATTAAGATCCCTTTATTGCGCATGAATTTCAGTAGCAACAATAAGAGCAGTAATTACAGGTATTGCTGTCGCGCTGCAAATGATGAATTACCCACCTAAGCAAAGTCCAATATAATGTGAATTACCCACGGAGTCTCGCTGGGGCAACCAAAACACTGGGGCAACCAAAACACCTCCCCGTCCCGCAGTGTCTGTGTGGCCAAGCCTGAGTACAGGAACAATATTGTAGAATACAGGAACAGTATTGTAGAACAGGGGGGCTGAGTGGTTGCTAAAGATGCAGTTTGGGAAGGAAAGAGATGGTTTAGGCTACTCTGCAAACTGCAGAAATGGTGCTTCGATGATTTCATGTTTGACTTGCAGAAATGTAAGACCCACAAGAGCCCCTTGCATTACAAGGCAAAATTAGTTAGGCAAAGTTGAAGTACCATCCTGTAACCATCTACCAGGCAGAACTAAAGAGGTCAAGAAAACAAACTCTTCTAATATACCTTCTTCTAGGATATGGTCAGATGGACTGAACTTAGAGAGCAAATGTCTAGGGATTTTCAGAAAACGTACATCCTTAAGGGACAGAATACTTGTCTGACAGTTTGAGGTGTCTAGGAGGATGCACCTGATAGAGTTATCTTTTCCATGGCTTCTTTCTCATATGTTGCATTCCAGAAGTGGCAACAATTCCTGAGTCTTCCTTAATGAAAGACTGAGAATTAGTCCTTTGATGCAGTCAGATCCGTGACTCTTTCAGGCTTTCTTTGAGTGCATATTGCTTCTACGAGGCACTGCTCTAAGAAGACGTTTCCGTTAACAAGTTAATCAAGTCATACAAACAACACATCTCTGGCCCATCATCAGAAGGCCCCAGCGAGGGAATTCTCAGCAGACTGCTTTGCATTCAGCAGCCCCCTTGCTGCTGTCAAAAAAAAGAAAATAAAAAAAAGACTGGTTGCGTTTGCAAGAGCTGAAGACAGCCCAGCAGGCAAACAACATGATGAGAATGCCCAAGAAAGGAAAAGCTGAATCACCTTCTCGAAGAAAGATGTCTTGAAACAGAGAAGCATTAAAGGAACCGTCAGCAGCAACAAGTTTGCTATGTGATCTCGATTGCTCACTTAGATGGAGAATTTCTTGCACCTGGTCTTGCCAAAGCCAGGAGCGCAACGCTGCAGCTGTGAATGTGCAGATGATCAAGAAATATTGCCCTGCTTGAGGGGAAAAAAAAAAGAATGCTTGGGGTGGCAGAGTGGGGAGATTGATGTCACCCATTTCTTCTTTTGTCCTTCTGGGATGCTTTCCTTCTAACACGGCAACAGGCTGTCTCTGCTGCTGGGACAGCAGGCAGTAAAAGCCAAATGCTCCAGGCCAGCTCGCTCTTCTGTGTTCCATCATGTCAAAGAAGCCCTTGAGAACTTCCAAGAGTTATCTCGGTCTAAGTGATGATGTATTAATTTTGACTGTGTGCTAATGAGGAGCTCCTTTTGTCTCCATGTTGCTGACCCTGCTTCTGCAGGGGTCTGTCCTCCTGCTAGCCGTGTCCATGGGTCAGCCGAGGAGAGCCGGAGCGCGGGGTCGAGCTGCAGGTTCAGAAGGGGAAGGTTCATTCGTCCCATCCCTGCTTGGACCATTGTTCGGTGCCCTGGTGCACAAGTGTTGTCCACATCACATTGTCTCAGCCTCTGTGAACACTGAAATCCTTCCCTGAGGAATCTCCCCTCGCCTGGAAGCCCTTCAGCTCAACGTGTGTAATGGGAACCACATCTTCCATTCGTACTAAAGGAAAAATGACCGGCGCTTCAACACAGTTCTGCTATGGCCAAACACAAGGATGAGCCTGGAGTCCCTCCTAGTCTAC